ATCTACTTATAGTTCGCAAAGACTGATTGTATGATTTATATTTAAAAAAAAAAACTTATAGTTATGCAGTATACTATACACGCTGTCTCGGACATCAACCTAATAGAACATTAAATTGCCTGTATTAGCGTCAACTATACTATACTTTACCCCTAAAGGAATAGTTCATAAATAATTTACGTCTGTTGCTGTTACTAAAATTCGTATTTGATTATTTATTGGGAAAATAATTCAATTATCAACATGTAATACTCAAGTTATTTGTTTTATCTATTTCATTAATTATATAAGAATCAAATTCAACATTTCTGAATTAAATATAATAAATAAATTGTGCGTGTACTAGGTGTACACACGTAAGAAGTGAAACTTCTTTATGATCTTATTTTTCGAAAAATGATCTACTATATGCAACTTTACAGAAATTCGTTAAATTAGATAAAGTTTAACAAAAGGCTTTTATTATCATAGACATGAATACAAATACTTCATTTTACCTTATTACTACGAAGATTATTATAGAATTTCATTAATTGTAATAGAATTATTATTATCATTGAAAAACGTGACGATTTGCTACAACATTTCTCCCATACGTCGATAAAGAAGTTCCATTCCAACGCCGATAAAGAAGTTTGACTTCAAAAAGCAACATGGCGCGTAACCGAAAAATGTGACGCGTAACGAAAAAATGTTACACTAATTTTTTTTCAAACCTCAATAAAGAAGTTTCACTTCAATAAAGTAAGTAACCATTAAGACAAGTCCAACTAAAGTGAGTTTATATTGTTTGAAAGAATTAAAAGAACTTTAACATTAAGAGAACTTTGGCATTCATATCCAAGAGTTCTTTCTTTATTTAAACTAGTTTTCGTATTTCTTATTTATACTTGTATTCTAAAGAGGAAATATTTTTATTTTTGGCTAGCTGCTAGTTCATTATAGAGTTTACTTATCACATAAATATGTATAGTATATTGAAACAGTTTTCATATATTATTTTATGTAGTAATTTACTTTCATATTACAGATTACTGGAAATATAATAATTCTTAAAAAAATAATCTCAATGTTTGCATTTATATTTGCCCTAGATAAGGGTTTCAACACTCGGCCCATATTTTTATCAATATGCCTAAATTGTAATCAAAGTATTAAGTGGTTGACTATATGATTTATACAAGCTAATAGTTTTTTATTGGATACTTGGACTTTGATCTTATGAAACATTCAAATAATATAATGTTTATAAGAATGTTATGTACATGTTATTTATATTTTTTGTATTTTTTCACATGTATTTTTATAAACCCTATATTTTTAAGAAACACTCAATAATTAATAAGGGAATAAAAAAGATGTAACAGTTAAATCTAAATTTTCTTTATCTCTTGGTTATGCATGTGTGATTGTAATAATAGATAAATTATAGCAGCAGAAATAATAAATTGACAGCTGCAAAAGTCTGTTAATTTGCTAAACATCAAAGCAGACATAGGAATTACTCTTCAGGGATAACAACTGAACAACTGAAAAGGTATAAAATGTTTCTAAATGAAATTTCAAGACACCCGTTAAAAGTATTAAGAACCATGGTATGAAAGAGCTTTCTTTCACTGCCTTTGTCTAACCCTCTAACAGCTGTCAAGTCATGGCGACTGAACTTTAAAATTAACCAAATTAAGGATTTCCACCTGGCAACAGCTGTTATGAACCATCTGTTACATTTTGAACTTTAAACAATGAAAAACTAAGATTTTTTAAATCAATAACCAAACAAGGATTTCATAATATGCATCAAATACCATGAAACATGTCAAAATTATATAAAAATATTTGCCAGTTAATTTTATTAATCACTTGTTTATTATAAACAATAAATGCATTAAAAACTGTCAAATATATAACAATTTCTCTATTAAATCATTTTGGCAAATATAATATGCTATGATAGTATTTCATGTCGAAATAGAAAGAAAATCTCAAAATCTGTTATAAAAATATATGAAGGTTTAACATACCTTTATTATAACAACCAGATGAAGATTAAAATATTGCCAAAGCTTATGCCACACTATCACTGTTATATTTATAATAATTACGCAAGAAAACTACAAGATCAGACAAGTTAAAGCTAAATATACCACGTCTAGAAATTTCTAGAGCTATCAAAGTTTATGTTAAATTTCTGTTAGTACTTATAGAATAAGTACTTTTGTACATTTTTATTGTAATTTAATAACAAAAAAAGTTACTTAGTAAAAAGTTATTTAAGATATGTTGTGGGCTCAATTTGAAAGCTGTAATGGAGATATTGCAAAATTTTTGCTATGGTTACTCATAAAATATTGAATGGCATTTTGAGAACTAAAGCAGTGATAAAAAGGTAAAAAAGTTTTTACTACGAAGATGACACTGGTTGACCTAAAAAAAAGCAAGTTATTCCAGTACGAAGGTACAAAATTGAGGTTATGTATGACGCAAAGAATTTTCGCAAAAATGAATTTAAAAGTCGTTGTAGTATTTTAGTAGTACATATTAGCAATATGTTCGAACTTACCGGGACGCGCCTGATGAAGTTTTTTGCGTAAAACCTGCCCTTTTTCACGAAAATATAACTTTTTCACTGCGTAGGATAAGGCTACCGTAGCTTAAACGAAACAGATGATGGGCTGTCAAATCCAGAATTCCGAATAAAGATGGCGGCGGATAGAGAATGTTGAATTACGTCATCGCGCGGGAAATTCGAACAGCTAATCCTACTAACGGTATTGTAAACTAGTCCCATCCTAATGAAAAATAAAAACAAAATATTTGTTAATTTCTTACCTCATTAAGATTTCAAAAACTGTATATGCAGTTTGTTCCACTTGGGTTTCTAAAACATTTGAAAAGGCATTCACTCCGATTCGACGCGCTGTTGCCAAACCGTTATTGCGTCAGAAAGTAAAAACTGTTCAACAAAACTCATTTCACGAGACTGGATCATAATTCATTTAGAACCGTAGTTAATATTGTCTTTGTAGTTACTAATACTATAAAAATAACTGTACTATATAATAAAACTATTTCAATCCTTGAATAAGTTTCACTTGGAAGTACGGCAACGTCGCGTCACTTAACGATTGAACGAACAAAGGGATACCGTGAATTTTTAAAAACTCGTATAATCTAAAGCAACAGTTTATAATTGAAACCCTAATAAATGATTAATTCTTTAAAAAACGTATAATAAATTCTACTGTTATTATTAAATATAAATATTCGGTTAAACTCAAGACGACAGAAACTAAACTGATTTCAAAAGTAAATTGTTTTGATCACTCGCAAGTCGCAGTAGTAAACAAAGAAAAGTGCAGTATTGCCACTTAACTAAAACCTACAATATTAAGGTGAAATTTTTAGTACACTGATACCAATATTGCATCGGGTCTGGCACCGATTTATTGTATATGTTGGGTTTTTAATCAAATACATAAATAATTTAAAAGTCGAGAACCAGCAATTGGCGGGAAGTGGCTCAGGGCCTATTTTATGTCCGAAGATTTACGTTCCGGAAGCAAAGACACATGCGAATGTATCATTTATACTAGGGATAGTAATTTATAAGTATTATATGGTTGAGGTTTTTTTGTATAATAAATATTTTTTAAGTGAAACTTTAGGCGCATGAGGGTATTTTTTTACGAAAACGTCACGAAGATGTGCAGTGGTTTTGTCGTAAAGAGAAAAGAGAGACCTATTGAGACCGATGGAGAGAGTGTGAAGGGTGAATTACCTTATAGAAATTCTATTTTTAAAATTAAAGTTTCGTTTCTGAAATATTAGTATTTTATATTTTATGCAAAATAATTTATTAAAATCTCAAATGACGAATTATTGTTAATTAAAATGCCACGCATTGCCCTGCATTTTAATAGTCGAAGAAAAAAATTTAAAAAAATTACAAATTATAATATTATTATTAATTTTCAAAACTTTTAATATTTTAATGACAATTACATTCATTAAATTCCTAACATACCGTCCTTTTTCCCTTCCTCTAATTCTCTGTATAAATTTGAACAAGAATTAAAAATTAGTTCGCCAAAGAAGTTTCACTTCCGACATGTGTACTTTGTACAAACGCACTTTTTTGTAATATACGAATAGGCTAACAATTGATAAGATAAGACAAACCTTTATTGGCTAAAAACTAAAAGATTAATTGAATTTACAATTAACAAAACTAAAGTTAGTGATCTTTTTAGATATCTACTTAAAAGTTGCTTTTGTATTGTTGCTTTATTTACAAATTTGAAGAAGTTTATTTTTAGTATTTAATATAAGGAGTAGATCAAAAAAAATATTAACATTCTATATAAAAATCGTCGATAACGAGATAGGCTGTTTTCTGAATATAAATTTCAATTGCCCTATCAAATAAAGGGAGGTTAACCCTTTACTTTATAATCAAATATGACATTAAATATGCCTTAGGTCTTATATTATATCATTACCAGGATTTTGAATATATTGTTTATATATTTTCATTGATTCCTACTAGTTTAATTCATGGATAATAGTTTGTAATTGTTAATAGGAGGGTAAGGTTAATATTATTATTCTTGTTGAGTTCTATACCTATAAATTTTGTTGGGCAGTTTTAGTGATATCATGGGAACCCCATTTCTGACTTGTTTTATTTAAACTGTATTTGTCAAGTCCAATTACTGTCAATTGTCATATCAACAACTATTATAAATCAAGATGGTAGAAACTAGAACGTAAATAATAAAGCTTAATACTTCAATTGGCATTTAGATATATTTCAATTGAGAAAAATAAACAAAAATGTATCATAAATTAGTTTAAAGTCAAAACTGATAGTTAAAATGTATGTAATAGATTTGTATGAACTATAATACATTGTGTACATTGACTGTGTATAGCGATATTTCCTGTTTAAAATTTAAATATTAAGTTTTTGGTGTATAGTTTACTTCTTCATTAAACTAATCATGTCTGTTAGTGAAAAAGTTTCTCTTTCGGATGCTTTGAGCAATGTTGATGTTTTGGACGAGCTTACATTACCAGGTAAGTTATTATCTCGAGACACACCCAGTATACCATAAGAAATACTGCATGGCTATGAATCAGTAATAATCTACTTGTTGTTGAGGAGTATTTTGGAGTTGCACCGTTAGAACAATTTACACTCCAAAATAATGTCTTTACCATATTAAAAATAAGCTGTATATAGTGATGCTGAAGGGAGTCCACTATATGTTATGTAGAAAGTAACATTACATTGTTAGGACTTTGCAAACTAACCAACTATGTAATTTTGAAGTTTTAGTGAGTGATAAATAGAGTTAATTTCCTAAATTGAATAAACATGTTTATGTTTTGAATTAATTACTTAATTTATAATATCTGTTTTGAATGTTTGATGTCAAAATATTAAATACACAGATGAGCAGCCATGCATTGAAGCAGCACCATGCTCTATTCTTTATCAAGCCAATTTTGACACCAACTTTGAAGATCGCAATGGCTTTGTCACGGGGATTGCTAAATATATTGAGGAGGCAACTATACATGCCAACTTGGTAAGTTTATTTTATGATGTATTTAAAATCTTAAGCTTATATATCAGATATAAGCTTCATATATTCCAGAAAACTTATTACATACTATATATAGATAAATAATTTCCTTAAATACCAAACAAGGCAAGGACTGATTCCTTAAATGGGTTTTTTTTTTGTAAAAATTGTTGTCTAATGTTCTTATTGTTAATGTAATTAATGTACCCAAGTATGAATAATCAAACCTGTAATCTTTTAGTTTTTCTTTTTGTGGGATTTTTAAATAATGTTGCTAAACCAAACTGTATTCTATTAAATACGACTCATGTTTCAGAATGAATTACTAGAAGAAGGGAATGCCCATGCAGTAATGTTGTACACCTGGCGATGCTGCAGCCGAGCTATACCTCAGCCCAGGTCTAATGAACAACCAGATCGAGTGCACATATATGAACGTACTGTTCAAGTTTTGGCTCCAGAAGTGGATAAACTACTGCAGTTTATGTACTTTCAGGTATCTAAAAAAAATGTTCTTTTGGAAGTTTGTTGACCTATAATTTTTAGTACATCAATAATCATCAATGGACTGGGGTTGAAGGTTGTGTTTTTCGTAATAAACATTTAAAACTAAACTATATTATTGCTATGAATTAAGTATTATGATCAGTTCAAGGAAACTAATTTTATAATATTTTCAGCGTAAAGCGATTGAGAGATTTTGTGGCGAGGTAAGGCGTCTTTGTCATGCTGAAAAAAGACGAGATTTTGTATCTGAAGCATATTTGTTGACATTGGGGAAATTTGTTAATATGTTTGCTGTACTGGACGAGTTGAAGAATATGAAAAGTTCAGTTAAAAATGATTATTCTACATACAGAAGGTAAATTATTTTATTTAGTTATATAATCATAGGTAATCTCTAATTTTTTTTCTTTTTAGTCTGTGAAAAAATAAAAAATGTAGCTGCTTGATTTTTTTATGTTAATTATCATTTAGCAGTTGTTAGAATGTCTGATTATATGGATACAATTTTTTTTAAAATGTAAAAAATTAACTATGCTGTTTTGCATAGCCATATGTTTAATTATAAGTTTAAATTTGCAACAAAATAAAACTTAAACAATTTCAAAATAATCTTTCAGAGCGGCCCAGTTCCTTAAAGTTATGTCTGACAGCCAAAGTTTACAAGAGTCTCAAAATCTATCTATGTTCCTAGCAACACAAAACAAAATCAGAGATACGGTGAAAGACGCTTTGGAGAAGATTAATGGTATGAAAATCTTCTTAAGTATATTCTGACTTTCTCCAGTTGGTCTACTACCATAAGTAGATTGATAAAAAGAAAAAGCCAAAGGAGTGGAACTCTCTGTCGCCTTAAAATTATCCTAAACATTATTTATTTATTTCGTATTCCTACAGCTATCGTAAATTATATATAACATAAAAACAATTATACTAAATATATAGTCAAAGATGGTATACATAATATGTATATACAAAAAAGTTCAAATATTTATTAAAGGAAAAAATAAAAAATAATATTAAATTTAACTAAGTAATACCTAATTCGGCTGTGTTGTGTAATGTGGTGATAGTGAGGGTGTGTGGGGTGTGCTCATGATGCAGGTGGTTCAGCGCTATGGATATTCTTAATACTCCTTTATATTCCGCGATAGCTTAAACAAGTCAAGGCAAATATATAACAGTGTATCATGGGTTCAATCAAGCGGCTAAAAGGCACCTCTTGGGCAGGTAGTATTTGCGTGTTGTTCCCACGAGAATATAAGTGCGTGCTCCTATTTCACCATGCCTCCTGCTGATAGAGGATAAATCTTTGTTTTTAATTTATTTTTTATTACTTAAGATGTCATGTGAGACATGGTGTAATGGTTGCAGCTCCTAACAAACGTTGTGTAAAAACTTGGCGATTAAAAAGAGTGGCGGAGAGTTTATTGCCAGTTCTTCTCTTCCCTTCTACGCCCTTGATTTGAGAACTGGCAGTAAATGTAAAATTTGAAGCATTTAATGTATATTTCTTTTTTGTCGAATCTGTTTGGCTTCGAATCTCTTCGGATCAACCGTGGTAGGGACAAGAAAGAGATGGCGCGTAACCGAAAAATGTGACGGTAATTTTTTTTTCAACGCCGATAAAGAAGTTTGACTTCAAAATGGTTCAACATAAAATTTATATAGATTACTTTCTTAGATACTTTTTTAACTGAAATAAATGTGCAGTTATGAAACTTCTATATATAAATTCTAATTAAAATTAAAACAGTTTTGAACTCTGAGAATAATCTTTGTTCCATCCGGATTCTAACCCAGTGTTTTGCTACGATGGCTGGGGCATAGTTTTCTGAGTCATGCTTTATGAATTTTGAAATATATTTTTTATTTACACAGGCTATGAAGATCTGCTCTGTGATGTAGTTAACATTTGTGTGCATATGTTTGAGACAAAAATGTATTTGACACCATCGGAGAAACATATGCTTGTGAAGGTAAGTTCTTAATTTCTTGTACATTGCTATGTTTGATACAGTACACAATAGGTAATCTTGAAAATACTAATTGCACGCCCTTCAACTAGTGAATGATCAGTCTTCTGAGATATGTGGGTATCATAAAAATTATTTAGTAACCAAAAAAAAAGATTCCTATGGCATCTGCTTTTCTCCAGTGGCATCTCGAAAAAAAAGTTGCCTACATATGAAACCAGGCTAGCGCACTTCAAGGTGTTGTCACTGGAGAATCGCAGAAAATTAATTGATGTATCGTTTGCCATTAAGATACTTAACAATCAGCTAAATTTAAATTTCTTGTACCCAGTAGATATCCCAGACATCCCATCATTCCATTTATCCCTCCTTTTCGGAGAACGCGTTTTGGCCGAAATTCACCGATGAGCATTCAGTTCAAGCTGGATCTGGACATCCATAGTTGCTCACCTCACACTTTGAGAGCGATTTTCTTTTAATGTTTATTTAACTTATAATATTGTTTTACTTAATTAATTTTATTATTTCTTATATGCTATGTTTGCCTGTAAGTGCTTGACACATTAAAAATTTTATTTTATTTTTCTTTTATCAATGTACCAGTGTGCCAAGCGTTGGCCAGCTTTTATAAATAAATAAATATTAAAAAAATTTAGTATCCAGATATGCGTAGATAGAAGTATCCCAAAGACTACTGAACATTTTCAACATGGACTATAAAGCAGGGTCCACACTATGCCGCGGTAGGCGGGCGGGTTGACCCGGGTGGGCTAAGCCGGGCGGGTACGTTCGGGCCGGCACGACGTCCACACTGAAAACGAAGCCAACCGGGCTATTTCTACCTACATTATTTAGTTTCAACACCAAGACTGGTGATTTAGTTGAAAAGTACTTAAAATGAACAATAAAAAACCCTACTTAAACAAACTGAATCGAAAATAAAATAATTCGTCTACTTCGGTCGGAGGTTTAATTGTAACCGCTCGGGGCGCTCGACACGTCCCCATTCTATATTTTTGTTCGGCTCGGCTCGGCTTCCTTTGATCTGTACCTACTTTATGCGGGTTGGGATCGGCACGGCCCGGGCCGGCATTTTCTAACCCGGCAAAGCCGCCCGGGGCGTCTACATCAACGCGGCTTAGGCCGCCCGGGTCAGCCCGCCCGGCCTACCCCGGCATAGTGTGGACCCTGCTTTAGGCTGTATATTTGATATTTATCATGTCAGTTTTATTTATACATTGTACAAACACATGAAATTCAGCACCCTTAATTGGTAGTATAATGAAAAGTCAAACTACTTTCCGAAGTCGGTTATTAAAATGATTATCTTATCCAGGGAGTTGTATCGCCACTGGTTTATTGAATTTGTAATTCTTATTGCGCGTTAGGGAAAAATGATGAGAGTAAATTTTTACGATGCGCGCGCACACCGTCACAAAAAAGCGACACCCTGAAGTTAGCTATAGTCAACATTTAGACTTAGGGTCCTTCAAGAAAAGAGCGTACCAATTCTTAAAAGGCCGGCAACGCACTCGCGAGCCCTCTGGCATTGAGAGTGTCCATGGACGGCGGTATCACTTAACATCAGGTGAGCCTCCTGCCCTTTTGCCCCCCCGTTCTATAAAAAAAAAAAAATTTTTTTAGTTTTTGTGATATTTAAATGAACACTTTTTAACTAGATAATGCGTGATGATAAAATTTTCAATGTATTAAATACCTTTTTTCTATTGTTAGTGTCGTTTTTTCTACAAACGAAGAATTTTTTTTTCGAAAAGATTTTTATCTTGTTACGTCAAAGAAGTATAACTTCTAACGCGTGTACATAAGTACACACATGTTTTTATTTCTCTTAACCACTTTTTATTTGGATTTCAGGTTATGGGTTTTGGTCTTTTCCTAATGGATTCGGAAGTATGTAATATCAACAGACTGGATCAGAAGAAAAAGATACGTCTTGATCGAATTGACAGGATTTTTAAGGTACGAACACAAATCATATTAATTTTTTTTTTCAAACTTGTTTTATACGATTACAGCTTAAATTTCAATAATAAAAAATATAATTATATAATTGTCTTGTTAACGATTTAAGGGTAAGATTTAGACATTGATTTCGCGTATGTAAATAATAAATTTTCGAGTGAAAGTTAATACTAAGTGATATCTGAATTTCCCTAAGAATTGGTGAAATTCAAAAACTTTGTATGTAATAATTTGGTGTTGCAATATTTAATAAAAAAACGTGACGTAGCAAATTATTTTTTTTTTATCTCATTGAGTAGCCGTAGGATATTTGTCGTTTAACAATTTCATCGTGCACAACTTTGAAACCCAAAAGATAACTTATTTCTATAGAATAAACTAAAATTTAAAATACATTTTATTCTGATTCATTTATAAATGTCAAAAAAGTATGTCACTAAATTTAAATTGCCTGCCAGAACCTGCCAGAACAGATGAGAGATGCCTTCGGCACAGTCAGAGGTCAGACTGGTCAGACCCTTTAGGTTGGAATGAGCACCTCCTTCCTATTTGTTTATTATTAATCTTACAGCTAACATACATATTATGAACACTTAGACAATATACAAAGCCAAAACAGTTAAATATATATTCAATAGAAAAATAAAAGTTAAAGAAAGTATTAATTAAGTAAAGTAATTCCTCCACAAAGTATGAAAAAATAGGTTAAGAGCTATTGTATTGGTTTTCAGAATTTGGAAGTGGTACCACTATTTGGTGATATGCAAATCGCACCTTTCAACTATATCAAGAGATCGAAACACTATGATCCTAGCAAGTGAGTTGGCAATTTATTTTATATTAAAAACTAGTTGACCCGGCATACTTTGCACCTCAATCATATTTATGATTTTATGAAAGTAATACAATTAATGCAAAATAAATATATCTTAATATATATAAAATACGTGTCACGTTGTTTGTCCGCTATGGACTCCTAAACTACCGAACCGATATCAATCAAATTTGCACACCGTGTGTATAGATCTAACTTAAAAGATAGGATAGCTAACATCTCAATTTATACCCGCAATATTATTTTATTGCAAAATATTTGTTTATTATTTGACAGTCACAATTCTAACAGATGGTGCTGTGTTGAAAGTACCAACGTTTCACATAAGCTATCTACCTTTCACATAAGTTCTCCTACCGTTTCCCTTGAACAGTTTACTACTATGTAATATAACTAAAACCTTAGCCACAGCAACGCTTGGCCGGTTTGCTAGTTATAGTATATTTTAAACCTTAAACACGCCATTGTGGATATATCATGTCGATTCGAAATCCTAATTTAAATACGTTTAAATTGAGGGTAGGCTTTAATTGAGGCCAGAATTTACCGTATCGACGAGATAAACAGTGTGACAGTTACGAAATACATCCACGAACATTATTTAATTAACTTTATTTTTCTTTAATTTTTTCAATGTTTTCCCATGTTTTTTTATGTTAATTATTTTCTAAATTCAAATAATAATAATAAAAAATATTCAAAAACAATGAAAATCGATTCAGCCGTTCTCGAGTTATAAGTTTTCGCACAACACAGATTTTGTTTTATAATTAAGATAAAACAAAACTATTCAACAATTTGAAAATAATCATCCCCAGATGGCCACTGTCTTCGAACCTGAACCCGTTGTCTCCTCAAGCTGACCTGATGGTACACCTGCCTCAGATAAGAGAAGAGCATCAGAATTACATTTCGGAGTTGGCCAGATACAGCAATGAGGTATATCAATATTTTCTTCAAGTTGTTCGCTGTGAAAGAAGGTCTCTTCCGGCTATGCATTTTTTTGAAAATTATAGTAAATATCAGGGATAATGGTAACATAATTTTGATGTTAGCCAGTTTATAAGTAGAAATCTTTCCTCTTTGTTATATTGTTGTTAGTTGTGTTAGTTGTTGTTAGTGGACTGTAGTTTCGCCTTAAATGCTTTGTCGACTAAAAATCGTTCTTTGAAGGTCTTCACTTAACTTTAAGTCACATTAAACACTATAATTTTTCACTTATCATACGAAATTAGTTGGGAGAGGGGTTTAAACAATTGTCCACCACTATTGGAACCAGCTGCCCACTGAAATATTTCCGAACCAATTCGTCTTAGGCTCCTTCATGATAAGGGCGTACCAATTACTGGTGGACTTGTTTGTCATTTTTAATGGTGGACGCAGAAATGTATCTACCCGAGGTTCACGGGACTTCACTGACTAGTTGACCTGACAGTCGTTCAATTTTAACAATAAATTTTGAATTCGAATTGGTAAAATAAAATACATATCATTCGAAGATCTAGTGTTTATTGTGATGCTCTATGATCTGTGTTTAAGCGCATTCTGGCAATCGCTGACAGTTATGTAGAATCAATATTGTCGTTAAGTTTTCTTGAATTTTCTTATGTTCCGCCCAACTTAAATACGAATAAGAACAACTTAAGAACCTTCTGGTGAAACACAACAAGAAATTAGCGAAACTGTTAAGGTACGATTCCACCCATAGCGTGCAGCACATTTGTTTACAAACATTTCATGCAAAACTATAACAGAACACGTAATAAGCAGGTATCGCGTTAGGCTTTTGTCTCCACCGGCAACTACAATGTTGTAACTTTTGTGAGCGCAGTCTTGCAACTTGTTCACTTCAACTTGTACGCGTCGATACGAGTCTATTAATTGTACCTTATGCGCGCATACAAATGCACGAACTTTGCTGAAATATTCGCGCACAATTAGTTATTGTTCGCTTGAGTGAGTCGACCAAACATTTGTGCCGTACGCTGTGCAACACTACCGCACGGTTCAGAACACTGGTGGAATCGTACTTTTACATCCTCTCACGCATGACCACCTTTCTTCTTCAACTTCACCAGCAATATCTTCCCTTTAAGGCATCAGCCATCCTTGTCCAAATGATTAGTGATTCCATTAAGTGTACAATTCTTGAAGCTCTCATCTGCTGTACGAGATCTGGCAGTAGGTATTCCTTTTAAGAGCCATTAATTTATAGGTGACGACGACGTTCAAAGAAGCCGGTTCGGATAACGAGAACAAAGCGGTCACAGAATTGTGTCTGCGTGGACTTCAGCTGCTGTCGTCTTGGTGTTCTGTTCTCACGGAGTTGTGCTCGTGGAAGTTGTTGCATCCAACTGATCACACCACCAACAGTAGATGTCCACCTGATGCTGAAGAGTATGAGAGGGTAAGAATGGCAAAATAAATAGAAGCTTCTAGAATAGTCTGTATTGTTTTGAGGCTAACGGGCAGGAGGCTCACCTGAAGTTAAGTGGCACCGCCGCCCATAGACACTCACATTGACAGAAGGCTCGCAAGTGCGTGGCCGGTCTTTAATTTATTGTATTGTATTGTGTTTACTAATAATAAGAATATGCTTCTTTTGTTTATATTGAGGGTAGGCAATAAAATATTGGTATGGACAGTCATTACCGTAAGTAACTTATACTAAAGCGTCCTACGCTCATTCACCGAGCAAGCACAATTTGACACCTTGGAACCACTGGTACTTAGTGAAACTAGAAAGACACACAATAATTTATAAAAAATCATTTTTTTTCAAATTTTAAAACCAAAATCGAGTTAAGTAAACTAACTTTAGTTAAGTTACAAATCAATATTTTATTTAATAATTAGAAGCGTAAACGAAATGGAAACAATCATCGCATGCTTGAAGCCAAAATTCAGCCCTTTAGTTTTTACCACACCTATAAATTTTTAAATTCTCGTTTCCGATAATGTCCAATAACATAAGTGTCAATTATGGTTTTTTTGCCACTGAGGCGCAAACAAGCTGCTGTGGTCTCTGGCAGAATGACCAGCGCTGCTGGAACAGTCGGCTCCTACACACGCATTTACATACTTTAGACGAACCGAATGGGAAAAGGAAATTTTTTTTTTATATATCTCTTATTATATCTTTTTTTTTAAATTTTTTCTCTTTGATTATTGTTATTTTGTGTGTGTGTTTTTGTTTTGTAATAAATATGTCTATGGCTATTTAGATTTGTGAACCCTTAGAAACTAAGTTAGTTTTTGTTAGCGTTGCAACCCCCACTACCCGTAATTTTACGTTAGTTATAAGCTCGTATTTTAAACCATTAATAAAGTTATTACCCAGCTTCAAACAAAGTGTTTTGTTTGAACATCTCCATACAAAAAACCGCCTCCGAACGTAACTATGTTTATTCATTTGTAGGCAACTCGCTACAACTATACGTCAGAGGAGAAATTCGCGATGATCGAAGTGATTGCCATGATCAAAGGCCTGCAAGTGCTGATGTCTCGAATGGAGACGGTGTTTGCTGATGCGGCACGTAGAGCCATTTATGCTGAACTACAGGATTTCGTTCAGCTCATACTTCGGGAACCGCTGAGGAAAGCGATTAAGAATAAAAAGGATTTAATACGAAGGTATGTTTTGGAATAGGTTCTTGAATAATGATAAAAAATTAGTATAAAGAAATAAAAGGTTGGTTTGCTATCTATTTACGGGTCCATGGACGTACGTACGTACACGTATTTCGTAAAGCGTATACTGAGAAACTTGGTTAATATTACAAGTTTTTTCAAAATCGGTTCAGTTTTTGGGATATCCACGCAGTTCTGGAATGTATGTTGACAGATGTTCAATTTTCCTTAGAAAAATTTCGAATGGTTTTCCCTAAGTTTCAACTGTATTTGCTAATCGCTCCATACACTTGTTAATATTTTTTTATAAAAATACTTCGCATGACATAAATCAAGGTATATTGAGTTATTTATAAGATTTCAAAAACCATTTTAGTTTTAAAATCTTTATTAGTGAATATAACCTATAGAAATTTAATTTTGTTAAGCATTTAAAAAATCAAATGAAATATTCATAATTTCAAGAACCGGCCGCCATTTCGCTAGCCAAACTGGCGTCTCACCAGTTCCTATGACTGGGATTCCTTGGGATTGATTTATTCCAGTTAAAACAATTTGTATGACTAAAAACTTGGCGATGAAAAAGAGTGTTGGTGCCAGTTCTTCTTGCCCGCTCTACGCCCTTGACTTGCGAACTGATAGTAAATGTATATTCAGAATCAATTTAACATATTTTCTGTTGACGTTCGTAAGTGCACTTGTTTACCTATATGAATAAAGTTATTTTGAGTTTGAGAATGAAAATGAAAATTGTTAACTATGGATTTTTTGTAAGTAAAGATAAAGTTTTACTCCTTAACACTTTTGTAAGCCATATTTTATACTGTACTCTAAATAACACTTATTTTTTATTATCAAATAGCGCATTTGTTTTATGCAAATATATTTTTATTGCAGTATCATAGTTTCGGTTCGAGAAACGTGCGGGGACTGGGCTAGAGGTTGTGAGCCCCAACAGGACCCAGCACTGCGTGGAAAGAAGGACGGCGAAGCTAGTTTCACTATCAAAGTGCCAAGGCGAAATGTTGGTGAGTCCTTTTTAAAGTTTTCAGCACTATGCAACTACCGTCTAGAATAGATTTTTTGAAGTTATACTTCTTTAGGCGCGTTATGAAAAATTGATGAGAGTGAAATTTTACGATGCGCGCGCACCTGAGACACAAAGTTGTCAGTGTGATTATAGCGTGCGCGAGCGAGATAAGACAATCTACAAGTAAAAAGAAATAGAATATGCGTGAAGTTAGCAGCTATGCCAAGAATTTTGAATGAACATAATGGTAGGGGAGCCCACGATGCTAAATGGGGATTTACTCGAGCGTCGTAGAGACCTATTGGGATACAAAGCTTAGATAAAAAGAAGAAAAAAATGTTATATGATAAATTCCTTTTCATCGGTGGGGGAAGCGGCTATAGATAGTTAAATATGTAAAAAAAACTGTTGCATGGACATCCTCGAGCGCGTCAGATATTGATAGCATCTATGCCCTACGTATTTTTAATAATGTACGTATGTTAATCTGATCGTTTGCATGATGCGGGTGGTTGTATTTAAGGGTTGAAAATTAAAAAAAAAAATTTTATCGAGCGCGTCAGATTTTCTAAGGGAGTGTTAAGTGCACCAAAAAAATCTCTCATTCACTAATCTGACGATTTCGATGGGACGCAAACCCACAGCCATTTTCTTAATTTGCAAAAAAAAATCGCAATTTTGAAATACTCAAGCGCGTCAGATTAAGATATATGTGGTTCATCTTTATGTTCTAAACGTACTGTCTCATAATCTGACGATTATCTAGAGGGATTCGCCTGATCTGACAAAAAAAAATAGAAAAACGGTTCACCTAAAGGGCCATCCCTGCAACTTCCCGCTAATTCCATTCCTGGGCGCTTAAAATTGATATTTTGAGCTCGCTGAGTTCAAAGAAATAACATTTCTATGCATTTGAGCTCTCCCAGCTCGAAAGTCTGATAGAAGTTTCATAGAACACTATTTTTGGAATTTTCAAACCGCAATAACTTTTGAATGGATCAAGCAATTTTCACGCGGTTGGCGGCATTCGACGCAGTTTTATCATTCTCATAAGTAATTTTGCAATTTTAATTGATCGAACCACAAATTTCGGAGTAATCCCGAAAAAACACTTTTTCGGGTTTCTTTCATGTACGATATCTCTCGAACGAATCAACCGCTTTTGACCAGCTTGGTGGCGATCGACGTGGTTTTTCAAGCTCAAAGGCGGATTAGTTTTTGAAGTTGATCGATAAAGAAACCACTTAAAAAAAAAAAATTCTTATTTTTTTAAGATTTTTCAAAATTTCTCAAAATCTATCGGTCCGAATCGGTTCAAATTCACAGGAAATGTAATTTTGAGGGAAATATTTTGAACGCCGTTTAGTAGATTCCGATCGGTTTAAGGAAATGTAGGCATCACGCAGCTGCACGCATTTAACTTTATCGACGAATTTTTGTTATTTCGGCTTGCGGAAATCGTCAGATTATATATTTTTCATTATTCTGGAATTATTTCCTTCAAAATAAAAGAAAAATTAGCTACGCTCGAGAATGTCGAGATGACGTTTTTTTTACAACTTTGTTGCCCTCCCCTTTTTTCCGTCACTCTCAAATTGTCAGATTAGTGGAATATACACTTTTTAGGATGTAATTAACTCACCCTACCTTAATCTGACGCGCTCGGGAATTTCTGATGGTCAATTTTTTTTACTAATCTGATCCTGTCTCCTTCACGCGCGGCCTTATATATGGGCCTCATATTTTGTGGAGGTACTTAACCGGGTACAAGGTATCCCCCTATATAGTAATCTGCCGCGCTTTAGTAAATCCCGAAATCCCCTCTTGGGCTCCCCTACCATAATGACATATACCTTTTAAACAAATAAAGCAGTTTTAATTATTTTTTCAAAGAAATTTAGCAATGCTTTTTCACAAAGACCTATTGTTACTTAGTTAAAAGGTTATGAAACATACGTAGTTATTAAATTGAATGAATAATATAATAAAATAATAAATAATAATAATTATTAATATTAATTAATAATTGAATAATATACTAAATATTAAATATCATTAAATTATTAACGTTAAATATTTGTTATTAATTATTTAATATTTTAAAAAAATAAAGAAAGTCAAAGAAGTATAACTTCTTACGCGCGTACATAAGTACGCGCACCCTTTTTTTTTTATTAAGTCTTAGGCGAGTTAGTGGCTGATCTGATAGGCTAGTGTTATTGAAAATAATATGTATGCCTTTAAAAAGAGTAAAACATGAATTTGTCAAAAACTCTATTTAACTAAAAATATTTTTTATAAAGCACGTCACGTGACACAGATTAGTCGAAACAACGAATACTTTACAGAATTAAATGTAACATTTGTATGCGTTCTATAGTCACTGATAAATAATCTGTAATCATGTCGAATAGCCCATCATTAGACTTATTGTGTTTGAAGAGGAGACTCACAAATTCGACTAAAAATTAACAGGTTGGCTGAAAACATTTGTGGGCTTTTTTTATGTTTTCGTCGGTAACAGGCGGGGCTCTTTGGGGCGTCCACAGCGTGTATCGTCCTCTGTGCTTATTTCGCCTCGTTTAAACTTAGCAACCATTGTTGATTTACCTGGTTCAGAGTTCGAATAATGTTTATCAAGCCAATCCTTGGCCTTGATAGTATTTTTTTTTAAACAAACATAAAAGTTAGGGGTCGTTCAAGTATTACGTAGCGCAATTTTTGGAGATTATTGACCCCCCCCCCCCATGTAACTCGCCGTAACGTTTTTCAGTACCCAAGTACAGTACTGTACCCAAGTATAGTAAAACGTTTCGTGACCACCTAGTGACTCTTTAGTTACTATTATGTGGTGTAAGTCGAAAAAAATATTAACAATAACGTGTAATTTAAAAAAAAATATTTCTTACGTCAAAGCGCGATATAAAATTGTATTCTATTTCGGAGATTCAATTTTTTATCCCTAAAAGTAATAGGGTAAATAACCACGATTTTAAATCAATTTATTTAATGTTTTGTTAGGTTTAAGCTATATGTATAAATAAAGTTATTTTGAGTTTGAATATTTCCAAAAATACCAATTTTTCGGGCTAAAATTAATATATTTTTATTATTATTTTGCAGGGCCATCAACAACCCAACTATACATGGTGCGCACGCAACTAGAAGCGCTGATATCGGACAAATCGGGGGGCCGACGTACACTGCGAAAGGATTTGGACGCGACCACTCTTGTGCAGATTGAAACGTTTCATAGACAGAGCTTCTATTGGACGTACATGTTGAATTTGGCTGGTAAGTTTTTATAATCTCTTAAAACTCTCGCTATGGAATTCACTTCCCGTCCCTATTCGCTTAGCTCCTTCTCTATCTTCCTTTAAATTTCTTCTGTACAAACATTACCCGTCCACATCGTATCCTTAACTTTCGTACTCCATAACTAATATATATTTTAATATATCTTATATATGTCGGTCATGTTTCCTTATTATAAAACTACCTAATTCATATATCTCTTTTCATAATAGTATAAACACAATTTGACAGAAAGAGTGCTTTACACTGTAATTGAAATGTTTTAGCTTTTATGATGGTGTCAATGGTTTTTCAGATTCCCTTCAGAAATGCTGTGATCTCTCTCAGTTGTGGTATCGTGAGTTCTATCTTGAAATGACCATGGGCAGGAAGGTCAATGTAAGTATTTCTATAGTATTATTGCACTTAACGTGCACTAACGTGATGACGTAATGACGTAAGAGAAAAAAAATTGGCAAAAAGTAAATATTTGTAACAACAGTAATGAAAAAACTGTCACATGGTGTACATTTTCTGGAATAAAAGGAAAATTTCCATAACTTCAAAAATACATGACTTAATTTTTTTTTTAATTTTTCTGATAACTGGTGTGGCATTACCTATGAGAAAATTTCGACTTGACGTCGACTTTTGGGACACCCTGTAAATATGGAATAGGCTTCCGGAAAGTGTAATCAGTGCACCATCTCTGAACTCCTTTAAAAATAGATTAGATAGTTTCCAAATCTCAAAATACACGTGCATCTGCTTATTAAGCTGCTAGTGTGTTTATATACATAATAATATTAAAATAATAACACTACATAAAATGGTTTTTAACTAATTTTATCCTTTTATAACTAAAAGTGATGAAGATGTAACGAGATATTATATTTTAACAGTCCAATTTTGATCAAAATATGTTCAATAGTTTTTGATATATTTTCTTTTGAACAGTTGAAGTTCTTTATAATTACATTTGATTACTGATAGTATAGTTAAAAGGTGTTTATAAGTAACGTGTGTTTCAGAAATGCACAGTACGCCACCAGCACAACGAAGAGTGCAACGATTTAGTCACAATGGAGAAACGGATTCAGTTCCCGATCGAAATGTCAATGCCGTGGATTTTGACGGATCACATATTGAGAAGCAAGGAGCCGGCTATGATGGAGTAAGAATTTTTTAATTAATTTTAAATTCTACGAATATCCTACGGCTGTGGAACAATTTCTTTAAACTCGCTCGCGTGAATAAAACGTGCATGCCCTAGACCCAAAGAAGGCGTGGGTCAGGCGCAGAAGTCTAATCACCTACTTGCCTATTAAGAATGTGATTACGAAATAGATATTTATTTAACCACAATACCATTTTTTTTTTGAGAGAATGGAGTGCCCCTATTTACGTCACTGCGGCTTTGTACCTGATAGTTTTTAACTATTTTTTCCTTATTTTTACTAATTCTACTAACATAGATCTTAAGAAACTATTGTTACTAACTCACTAATCAATCAATGGACTGTATTTGTCTGATTAATAAAAATTATTATTATTATACTAGTACTAAGCCAATACGATGTCTAAAAAATTCAAATATAATAAAATACATAAGATACACAATATCGCTACTGTATTTATTTATTAAAGTTTACCACATCAGACATAGTGCTAAACGGTATATGTTACAAACTATTTTAACTAAAATGTATGACAATTAAGCTAAACATAAGTTATACAAAAAAAGACAAGTTAAAATAAAATTAACCAGAAATTTTCGTTGAGCTCAAAAAAATTCTAAACTGTACTCTCTGTACTGTAAACTGCGAACACTTTGCGAACATATAAATATGTCTATAGTCGGAGACAGGATTCAGTAGACGGCAACGTCTTTAATGTGCAACTGATTCTGAAGTTTGGTATCGCAAAGAACCTTGGTCTTGCGTGTTGTTCCCACGAGAATGTAAGTGCGTGCTCCTATTTCACCATGCCTCCTGCTGATAGAGGACAAATCTTTGTTTTTAATTTATTTTATTATTAGCAATTACTTAAAATGTCACATGGGACATGGTGTAATGGTTGCAGCTCCTTACAAATATTTTGTAAAACGAAAAAATGGCGATTAAAAAGAGTGGCGGAGTGGTTATTGCCAGTTCTTCTCTCCCGTTCTACGCCCTTGTTCGAAATACATTATATTAATTTTATTAAATTTGATGAGGGTGATGCCAAATATTTTTACACGGCCGATCGACACATTTTTTATTAGTCATTTGTTGAGCTTCATTCGGGTTACGTGTTCTCGTGCATCTAGCATTTTTTATTTTGATAAGACATGTATACTTTTTGTTAATTATAGATACGTCCACTATTTAGAATTTTATAGTGAGTGTTTTAGTGCTTGTTTAAAAACTATTGTGAGGCAAGGTATCAATCACCATCAGTCTAACCTCTTTTTGTGCCCATACTAAAACTATTCCCAAATCCTTACGGCTGATAATATTGTGTGCCTATCTTCTTGTAAGGAGACATTGACGAGGTTTGTACTCAGGACTTATTATTTTAATATGAATTGTGTATCGACGGCCACCGAACCGTTCTTTGTGGTACAGCCCTTGATTTGAGAACTGAATGTAAGAACTGAATGTAGAAGTAAATGTAAAATTAGAAGCATTAATGTGTATTTCTTTACTGACAAGTCATAAGTGTACATTATGTTACCTATGTGATAAAAAGATTTTTTTATTTTTCGCCGTCGCACATAGCCCCTAGGTACAAAGTAACCTCTGATCTTGAAGAACACTTCACTCACCACTCAAGACTTTTAGTATAGCAGACCAACTGTTATCCCGTCTTGTGTTATAAACAAGATTGAACATTATTTTTGAATTCTTTGGGTTTTTAAATTGTCTTGCTTGAACATGTGTGTGTCTATATATTGGGTGTGCATGTGTACTCAGCGCAGAAGAGCCCATTGGACATTTAGAGAATTTTTTTTTCAGATATGTGCTATATCCGCTTGACCTATACAACGATTCGGCCCAATACGCGCTCACAGTGTTCCGGAAACAGTTCTTGTATGATGAAGTGGAAGCCGAAGTGAATCTGTGCTTCGATCAGTTCGTCTATAAATTGTCTGAGCTTGTCTATGCTCATTATAAGCAGTTGGCTTCGAGGTGAGTATTCAGTAGAATAGATATTTTTGCGATATTTTATTTGATTTTTTATAGGAATGTATCGGCTGACTGATTAAAAAAAATTTTTTTGAAAGTCACTAAAAATTTTGAAGTGAAACTTCTTTAGTCGCATGATGTTAAAATTTTTATGGAACGTCACGAATATGTGCAGCGGTTTTGTCGAAAGGGAGAGAGCGATTGAGACCGATTGGGAGGGAGTGAGAAAGGGCGAACGTAGCATGGAGAAAAAATTAAAAAAAAAAAAAAATTTAGAATTTATACTAATTTTCGACACTTAATATTTTAATGACAATAAAATTCATTAGATTCCTAAGATATCTTCTCTCTAAGTCTCGGAAATCTAAAGTTTTAGATTTGTATAAATAAGAATAAGACTTAAAAATTAGTTTGCCAAAGAAGTTTCACTTCTGACATGTTTACTTTGTACGCACGCACTTTTTTTATAATAAATTAAACTTTAACGATTATATAATCCAATTGTTATTATATGATTTACTCGAGACGCTGTGTAAATAAAGTAATAAATTCTTTAAAAAAATTTGGACTCTTAGTGGAAGTTTTTTACTAAAATACAATTTCGCGTAAATCATAGACAATTTTGTAACGTGTGTGGTGATTCTGTGAATTAACGCCCTATGTAACTGCATCTGATATAGTATGTTTTGTTCTAATTTTAGTATGTTACTGGACAAACGGTACCGTGGCGAGTGCGCAGCGCGTGGGGCGAGTACGGGGTGCGGGGCGGGGCGGTACGCGTCACTCCTACGGCAGCGACATGTCGCGTTGCTCGGCCGACATGTCGATCTCTGTGCATTGGTAATTTTATTTATTTATTAACTCTTCGTTGCATTACAATATAATAATTAAACGTAATTAAATGAAAAGGAGGGCAACTGGCGTTATCGCTTTCGAGCGATCTCTTCCAGGCAACCACTGTTAGAGAAAACAAAATGTATTAATAAGTAATATTTTAGTTTTAAATAGCCAATTGCATTACATTACAAGAGCGTACCAATTTGACGTTTCACAACTGAGCGTTATTTAAGGACCACCACTATGTGGAACCGGCTGCCCACTGAAGTATTTCCGAACCAATTCGACTTGAAATTCTTCAAAATATGAGCGTACCTGTTCCGAAAAGACCGGCTCTTGCAAGCCTTCTGCCAGTGTGAGTGTCCATGGGCAGCGATATCACGTAACGTCAGATGAGCCTCCTGCCCGTTTGCCCCCTGTTCTATGATTTTTTTTTATCAAGTAACAGAAGTTGTAATCTGACTGAAGCTTATCATTGTATTGATTATTAAGTTAAAGTTTTTTTTAAATATCTTTCACTATGTGCTCATAAAGTGTATTGGCCAATCGAGAATCTTCTAGCAGTCCCTGTTCTGTACCACCAGTTACTGGAGATATTCCTCTGGAGGACAATAAGAATTGGTAGCTCAGCCCTACGTAATAGGCTCATCGACTACGATTTTCTTAAAGAGTAACTCTTTGAACTATTAATTGAAGAATTCCATTTGTATTTTTTATTAAAATAACTTCAGGTAGCACAAAGAATAAATGCGGATATGCATCGCGCGTTGGACGCGGCGGTTGCCAAATTTGAGGCTGGCGATATAACTGGTGTTGTCGTAAGTATACTTTATAAATAATTTAAATTTGTTAGCATGTACGTGGACGTTGTAACAAAAGTAATTCTGAAATTAAATTAGTGTTTTGTGCAAAAATAATAGAAGACCTCTCTGAAAATTGGGTGCGTTCCAAATTAATGATTATTATTTTATTTATTTATTTAAACTTCGTTGCAATAAAAATAAAATAAACACAAATAACACAATACATAAAAATTATAAGGAATGCAACGGGCGGCCTTATCGCTAATAAGCAATCTCTTCCAGGCAACCCTAATAATTAAAGAGAAAAACTAAAAAAAAAGAAACATATTGAGTGCGAGAAGTTATTATAAGAAGCTTAAAATATAACGTTTGAAACTACTGTGTGTTGTGGTAATGTAATAACGGTAGAATTGTCTCGCCATATAAAAATATTTTTTAAACTTTTAATCGTGTAGCCTAATGTTTTAGCCGCTGTAGTAAATACTTCAACGTTCTCTCACCATAGAGTTATTAACCAGATACCAGAAAATCTTAATAAAGTATCGGTTGCCATGGTTTGTACAGTATGTTCATATTTAACTACATATATTTCATTAAAAATATAATCATATTAACACACTTTAATTTCATCGAAAGTTATAGATACTAGCACGAACAAAAAATAATGGTCTCGTCCGATGCATATGTGTGAGTGCGTACGGACGAAGTGCGTGCAGCAGTTCGCTCTGTATTGTAAGACGAATTATCAAATTAACTAAATTATCATTTCATACATTAAAATATGACAAGGAAAATATTTTATTTATTTTTATTAGTTTACGTCTTCTATTGCCATTTTATGACTTGATGTTATTTTCATGTAGACTTAAATGATAATAAGATATTATTATGAACTGAACCTTCTTTTAATAGGAAGTTAGTTAGATATTTGATGGTTATATTGTTTTAAAAGTCCGTGATTTTATTTAGAGGTCTCCATTCCCTTTTTTAAAACCTCTTTGTCATATTAAAATAAATATCTTTTAATAGTTTTAGGCATTTGAACGCTCTTATACTTACTGTATCAAAGAATTAGCCCACGCACAATCGAATCGACAACCCCAACTTTTGATAACAAACAAAAACATCTTAATTTTTTTGAAGAAATTAGTTCCAATAGCTTTCTATATAGCGAGGATTTAAATTAAAAATGTTACCCTCAATAATAATAGTGATCTTTATCCAGGGTATTAGGGTCATAATAAAAGTTCTCGTAACAGGAATTAGAGGGTCTGATAGCCGTGAACCGACTCTGCCACAAGCTCCTAAGTCGATATCTAACATTGGACGAGTTCGATGCCATTCTCCGAGAATCTGACCATGGCGTACTGGCTCCATATGGAAGAGTCACACTGCACGTCTTCTGGGAGCTCAATTATGACTTCTTGCCAAATTATTGCTACAATGCCGCGACCGATCGGTGAGTAAAATATGTGAAATAAATAAATAGTTTTTTTTTTATTCGTATTCAAAGTCAAACAATCCAAGGCTGTACATTTTGCCTTTTTGGTCCTTCGAGCCGGACATGAACCCGGGTCGAAGGACCAAAATATACGGCTTCTGAGTCAGTGGGGATGTTTTAAATAATGTACATTAATCAATACGCGACAAAAATGTAAAATAATTTATAGCTATGTGATGAAAATAATGAAGAGAGTGCTTGCGTTTGTCTATGGTCTTGGGGCGTAACTCCGACGATTTAGGTAATCGCCATGCTTATAAAACTAAGAAAGCCTGATGAGCAAAATGCCTTGGCTCACTCGCCAAAGAATTTTGTATGTTTTTGTAATCTTATCAAATTATTTTTATAGGTTAAAATTCTATAAAATACATTTCTCTAACAGATTCGTTAAATGCCGTGGTATCCAATTCGCTCCCGCGGCGCAAAGAGAGAAGCCACAGCAGTTTGGACATGCCATGCTTTGGGGGTCCAAACAACTCAGCTTGGCTTATTCAGCGCAGTACGCACAGTATAACGGTCAGTACTAGAGCTCTTGTAACTCAGGCCTTAGCTTTTTATGTTTTTTTTTCTTCAGATACTTAGGTGATCGGTCTTCTGTGCCTGACACGTATCGATTTTTGTGTCTATGACATGCCAGTTGCCTTATTATGTTTTTATTAGGCAAGTATATGCGCACATAGAAAAGTCCCTTGGTATAATGGCATGCAAATATGTTTTAAAAGGTAGAAGTTACAATCATTATGAGTCATATCATTATAGTCAATTCTTATATTATTTTATCACTACATTATCACATTAATAACATATTTTATAACGTTATCAAATTAATATTAATTAGAATATTTCACGCAAATAATCATTTATATAATTTTTTTTCTCCAAAAATAGTCTAGTTGATTCTTTGTTGTTTTTGGTACATTATTATAATCATTGATTGCCCAAACATCTAATACCCCTCATAATATAGAACTTATCGTACAGTACCAGGCCATTTATAAGTTGCATCGTGCTTTAGAAAGAGAAAGAGGCTTCGTATAGCGCCGTCTCCGTCTCCTAATAGATACCGGACTGCTAGTATTTCGTGTGACAGAGATGAAGCTCTACAAAGCGAGTATCTCTTTCTAAAGCACGATGCGACTTATAAATGGCCTGGTACTGTAAACCTTACGTTTCCTAGTAAAGCGGTGCCGTTAACTAACGGCCGTCATTTTACGGTTATTGAAAATGATGTTTTTTTTGCAAAAAGTAAAGACAGCCGTTATTAACAACCGTAAAATGACGGCCGTTAGTTAACTGTAACTACCATTAAAATATATTTTTTTAAGTTTTTACAAGTTACAATTAAAAATCCGACTACTTCACTCTGATATTCATATTTTCAGGTTTCGTCGGTGCTCAACACTTGCACGCGCTGGTCCGTCTCCTGGGCTACCAAGGAGTGGCTGTTGTGGTGTCGGAACTTCTGGGTGTGGCTCGGGGTCTCCTTCATGGGACTCTTGCGCAGTTCACACGAGCATTGGCGGCTGCTATGCCAAGGCACTGCAAGCTGCCGAGATATGATTATGGATCTAATGGTAAGTTGGAAGCGTTATATTGAAGATTTGATTTGAAAAGTTGTTTATTATAAATAACAAAAAATAGATCAATCATAGATCACAAATAGTTCTTTTGTAAAACTTTACGATGCGGGGCGGGGATTAAATTACATGTTATTGTTAATATTTTTTCGACTTACACCACATAATAGTAACTAAAGAGTCACTAGGTGGTCACGAAACGTTTTACTATACTTGGGTACTGAATAACGTTACGGCGAGATACATGGGGGGTCAATAATCTCCAAAAATTGCGTAACGTAATACTTGAACGCTCCCTAACAAAAAAAATTGTTGCGGCACAATAGCAAAACAGTCGAACTGCATTCCTATAAGTAGTCAACTGTCTCTTTTCATCACATCGTAAATACAATTTGTCAGATAGAGATGAAATAGTACTAATAGATCATCAATAGCTATAGGAGAGGAGTGCACTAATGGAAAATGTCTCAAATTTATATTTGAAAGCTCTCTCAATTTAGACGACTCATTGGTCTAGTGGTTAGTACCCCTGACTGCGAACCATGGGTCCCGGGTTCGATCCCCGGCTGAGACGAACATCGATGTGATGAGCATTTGGTGTTGTGCTTAGGTCTTGGGTGTTTAAATATGTATTTATATGTCTATCTATAATATGTATGTATATCCGTTGCCTAGTACCTATAACACAAGCTTCACCAGCTTAGCATGGGACTAGGTCAATTGGTGAAAAAAAAAGTTGTATCTCAGGAATTAATAATAATCCAGTGGCGCTACAACCCTAAATGGGTCTTCAAGTCAGATCCGTTTCTTTGAACATTTTTATTTATTTATTTATACATTCTAAAACAATTTGTATGCCTAAAAATACAAGAAAATATGACATCACAAATTTATACATACACATCAATTACATTAGAACATAAGAAATCTATCAAAGGAGAGACTTTAAAAAGAAACGATAATAACTAAAACTGAAATAAACAAAACTAAATGAAAACTTAAACCACATTAAGAGCTTGATAAATAAAGTTACGATAACTTGGCATATTGTTGTAAAATATATCAATATTTTCGTCAATGTTAGTAATCAAGTTGTAAGAGCGAGATAGCCTATTCTCTGGACCATTAAAAGAAGCAGATAAGCGAGCCGTAGGTACGTATAGAAGACAGTAGTTCATAGACAAATTAGTGATCAACCTTGTCTGATTTTTTAATTTGTGAAATGCCGGTTGCCGTCACCGTAGCAAGTGTTAGATGCACAGGCTTTTGAATGAGTGACAACATCCCTGAACACTTGTCACTCAATCTCGGGATTTATGGGCTCGGATTGAAATTTTTTTTTGAATACTGGATAGTTAATTTATTGTGAAAGGCTGTATTATTACAAAACGTACGATCGAATGCAGAAGAAACCGCGGAGAACAGCTAGTTTAAAATATTATGCCTCCAATTTTATGCCAAAAACATTCAAAACAAGGTTTGTAATGTGTCGTAATTTTTTGACTCTTATTTACAATTTCATTGAAATATTCATTGAATTAATTTCAGGCGTGCTGGGCTACTACCACGCCCAATTGACAGACATAGTGCAGTACCCCGATGCAAGAACGGAACTGTTCCACGCGTTCCGTGAACTTGGAAACATTATTCTCTTCTGTATGCTGATTGAACAGGTCATTATTGCTCATACAAAAATTTTAAAGTGCTTTAAAGATGGTAGAGTAATTTAGTCAAATACAAAACGTGTTTTTGTATATTTTGAAGTGGGTTTTTTATAGAATAGGAGGCTCGTACGTACGTAAGTACGTTGGCGGCCTTTTAATAGTCAAGGAAAATGCTCCTCAAACGGTCAGATGTCGTGTCATCTCTGATGTCACGCGTCACTTATATGCGCCCGCGCATTATAAAATGAAAATTTAGTACAACATTCTATTTAAATACACATTAGAAACTAAAACCATTTTTTATATTTTCCAGGCTCTCAGCCAAGAGGAAGTGACTGACCTCCTTCATGCTGCTCCATTCCAGAATATTCTTCCAAGGCCATACACAGCAGGTATTTTTAATCGTGTATCATATAAATGTATATCTTTGTAAAAAATTATACAATTTCCTGATTTCAAAAGAGAAATGAATGTCAAGTACATCGAAACTTTGTTGTGTGTTTGAATAAATAGCTAACAGAACAACAAAAGAAATTGTTACGGATTGGTTTATTAAACTCGACTTAAAAATACTTAATGTGTTCACAGAGGGAGAAAAACCAGAGACAAAACAGAAGCGGCTAGAAGCGAAATACGCAGCATTGCAAATTGTTCAGAATGTCGAGAAATATGGGACGGCTAAGGTTATTAATTTATTTTATTTAAATTCATTTCCAATTTTACAATATTAGTTTTTTCTTTTTACTCGTTACCCTTCTTCTACCATTAGAACAAGTTAAGGTAAAGGACTTCTTCTTTTAAACGTTAAAAGATTCATAATATGCGTATAGGAATAATATTAGACTTAAAAGGGAAGAGGGAACGCAATTGGTTGGTTGGTTAAAGATGAAATAAACATCCAAACACATTTAATCGATTTTTTAAGGCTGCGCATGCGCATCCTCTTTATGTCGTGCAGTGCGGACGTGACATTTGGTAGAATCTCCGTTTAAATATTTTGAATATCGGTTATTTATTACCATTGTTATAATTAAAAACCTATTCCAGCAAAGCCAACTATCCCGCGAGGGCGATCTTTTAACCCGCGAGCGATTGTGTTGCGGCCTATCGCTGTTCTCCGTTGTGTTGCGGCGCTTGAGGGCCAGCCTCACCGCTCCGCAGTGGCCGGCCCCGCCCTCGCCGCATCATGCCCCGCTGCACACAGATGACACCAGCGAGTTTCATAGGTAGTTTTTTTAAATGTTTTTTATATAGATAGATTTAGATAGATATGTATTATATATAATAGATATAGACTTGTAACTTGCATTGAATATATTTTTTGAATTTTTTTGGCTTAAAGGTCTCGTCCGTTACCAGGCCATAAAATTATAAAAAAAAAAATGAAATTTTTTATCCTGTAATAGTTGCATCACCACAAGAAAATATCGCTAAGTTATATACTCTGATTTTTAATTCCGTAGAATTCTGACAGCCATCATTTTTTCACATTTCAGAGATTACAAACCTTTTTGGCCGGGCACATTTTTCAATTTCAATACGAGTCTGAACATCTGAGCCTATACATACGTAATGTGCAGTGCTCCACATTAAAAGTGGTTTTACGGCAAGTGATAATTACGTCCCTTTTCATCACAAACAGTAAAAACGCACAAGATAACATTTTATTTTTTTAAAGGTTTACTAAACCTGGAATTAGTAGGCAGTGGTGCCAGATAAATAATAAAATTATTAATTATTATATATTTCGATATATTGTTCGGGATATTAAAATATTTGTTATTTTTGTATTAGGGCACTTGAGTAAGTAAATGATCAGATTTACCTTTTTGCAGGTAAAACAAAAAAAATACGTAGAATTTTATTTTTTATTGCCCTCAAAAGGGTCAAATTTGTCCCTTTTTCGCTGGAGAACTTTTTTAGTAGCAACCCTTATTAAATGTCAGAATTCTACGGAATGAAAAATCATACTAGTATATTAGAATTTATTGATGTATTATAATTTTAATCTATCTATGAAGATGAAGTGCTAATACGTGACACCAGTAAGCTTGCAAGTGCGTTGACGGCCTTTAACTTGCATTTTCTTTTGTTGAAGACCTGGAACAGCTGAGTCTAAGATAATGTATAAATATTTAGTAACTTTTTTTCAGATTGTGGTCCGCTCTACAATTCCTCTATTGTATACCCGTTGGTGACACGCAGTTTACTGTCGAGTAAGTTTTTTTTAAATTTAGTTATAAAAATGGCTTTTTTCATAGATAACAAATTGTTAAAAGTATGAATCCTTTTTTGAGTAACTAAGGGAGCGTTCAAGTATTACGTTACGCAATTTTTGGAGATTATTCCCCCCCATGTAACGCGCCGTAACGTTTTTCTGCACCCTATAGTAAAACGTTTCTTGACCACCCAGTGACTTTTTATACCTAAAAGTTACCATTATGTGGTGTAAAGTACTAGAAAGTCGAAAATAATATTAACAATAACGCGTAATTCAACCCCCGCCCCGCATCGTAACGTTTTACAAAAGGAAGCCCCCAAATTCGTTACGTAATATTTGAACGCTCCCTGATGAATTTTTGCAGAGAGCTCTTCGGGGAAGGTCTTCACTGGGCCGGTTGCACCATCATGGCTCTCTTGGGTCAGCAGAGGCGGTTCGAAGCTCTGGACTTCTGCTATCACATCCTGAGGGTTCAGAGGGTGGATGGGAAGGATGATGTGGTCAAGGGAATTGTGAGTGTTTCTTAATATTATCAAAAAGAATATGTTAAAACCGTGCACCGTGCACTTGGTTTGGCATTCGGCCATCAGAGAACAGTAGACGGTGCACATTGGTAAAAACTCTGTGATCCGGATAGCGATCTGCATTAGGGTAACTCTCGCGATACCGTCTAGCGGCTTCACTGGCATTACATAAACATTCCCCATAAATGAGGTGCATGTTAGCATATTCCTGTGTAGTGTACGTAGCCATGCTATGGTACAAATACACAATAACACGTAAGTCCAGGGAAAAGTAAAGGTCGTCGTAGATCAGAAATGTAAAATCCAAATCACAAGCAAACAAGTCCGTAAACGAAGCCAAAGTAGTTAGAACACAAAATAACACCAGCGAATACGAAAAGATGCGTAGTAAACGAAGGAGCGTTGCGTACTGACCTGTAGTGCGTGTGTCAATAGCAATAAGTAGCGTCACTATCTGTCTCGCTCACACTTTACGCCATCTTATTTAAACCACGCTGTGGTTATTAGGAACGCTTTGGGTACACTAGAATCGTTTTTTGTAATTCCAGAGATTTTTTTAAAAACAGACTTTGTTTAACAAAATTTTTTTTTATGGCCGATCTAAGAAGTAATGAAGTAAGTATTATACCACGTTAGAATTCAGGACGATCAGTTGAACTAGTGCGAAAAATTAATTTTGAAAACTGGGTACGGTATAAAATGACATTTTCCTACAAGTTGGAGTGATCGGCACAGGGTTTAGGATCATAGGTTACATAAAGCACTATTCGGGATGACGTAAGAGAAAAAAAATTGGCAAAACGTAAATATTTGTAAATTTGGTTTCAAACTTTCTAAGAATTTTTCTATTTTAAATTCGCGTATAGAAACTCCATTGGAGCACAGTCTATCGAATCTCGAAGTCGCACGTTGAAGCCACCCTGACAACACTGTAGAATGATAACCTCGTATATCAAAAAACCATTTATTTTTTATTTAGGTTATTAATAAATAAGTCCTTTTTACTATCCAAAAAATTTATATATTTACGAACATTGGCGAAAATACATATTTTTAATGTTTGGTTTTCTGGACATACGAGGTTATCATTCTATAGCGATGATATATCATACTGTATAAATGTTTCTAGTGTTAAAATTTTGAGATGTTTTATAATTTAATTTTTTAAAAATTTTTATAAAATTAATTTTTATATTCAACCAACAATTTTTTTCCAGCCTCTGAAACGTATGGTGGACCGAATTCGGCGCTTCCAAGTGCTGAACTCGCAGATCTTCAGCGTCCTCTCGAGGCACCTGGCGGCTGCAGATGACGACAGAGCTGGAGTGGAACACGTCAGGTGCTTCCCACCACCGTCTACTAGCCATCACACAATCAACTAGAACTCTTGCCAAAAGATTACAGATACATATAGCTGTCTCGTTCGTTCGTTTATAAAATGGTATAGAGTGATAAGGACAAAACATTTTGAGCTTCCAAAAATTCAAAGAAAATTAACATTCCCCGAACGGTATAAAAATAAAATATATTAACGGTATATATGCATATAATAACGTATGTTGATCAATTCCTTCATTACCTTGGACTATATTTCGTGACTTAGCGCTAAGAGAGCGTTCAAGTATTACGTTACGAATTTGGGGGGGGGTCCTTTTGTAAAACGTTATGATGCGGGGCGGGTGAATCACTTTACACCACATAATAGTAACTTTTAGGTATAAAGAGCGACTGGGTCACGAAACGTTTTACTATTGGGTACAGAAAAACGTTACGGCGCGTTACATGGGGGGGTTTCAAAAATTGCGTGACGCAATACTTGAACGCTCCCTAATCCCCTTTTTAAAACGTTTTTTATTTTGACATAAGGCAGTCATAGATGTCGCTTAGGTTAGAGGCCCGTATTCTGGATCGTGAATCCGACTTAAATCTTTAAAGATACCTTTTTTTCTGCATAACTGTGATACGAATTGAACTGTGGACCTAAATCTTTCGACAAGCACACTTTACATAGTTTCGATTCGAAGTTCCGTTGACGACCTATGGACGCTACAAAAAGTCACCAAGACGCCATTTGAGGCTGGCGCTATTTGAATTCACGATTTTTAGCTTAATTTAACGTATGTCTCATGAATTAGACATTATTCCAAATAAATAGATATTTAAGGATAAATGCATTTAATCATTTTTATATTTATAACACTTATTTTAAATATAGTAAGCTCTTGCGGAGCAGTGTTGGCCTAGTGGCTTCAGCGTGCGTCTCTCATCCCTGAGGTTGTAGGTTCGATCCCCGGCTGTGCACCAATGGACTTTCTTTCTATGTGCGCATTTAACATTTGCTCGAACGGTGAAGGAAAACATCGTGAGGAAACCGACATGTCATAGACCCAAAAAATAGGCGTGTGTCAGGCACAGGAGGCTGATCATCTACTTGCCTGTTAGATTGACTAATGGTCATTATAGAAATCTGAGGCCCAAACCTAAAAAGGTTGTAGCGCCGCTGATTTATTTTATTTTTTAAGCTCTTAATTATAAGAAATAATGGTCTAAGATCTAGAGAATCGATTGATTGAGCCAAACGGAGACGAGATACTTTTAGTTTGGCAATGGTTTCGGTTTAAAGCTTGACAAAAACACGTGAAATTCTAAAAAAAAATATTTGACGTTAACCTTCGGACGTTTGAAGTTAAACATGACGAAACGAAGTCGAATTTTGAGATCAAAATTCAATTCTTCGTTATTTTTAGAATATTAGCTGGATGAACTCAAAATCGATTTTTTTAAATTAAATTAAATTTGCTATCAGGGGCCGTTCAAGTATTACGTAAGCAGATATACTGCAATTAATTCCCCCCGCCCCCTTCCTCTTGTCAGCATGTATTAATATTTGTAGGAATCCTCGAAAATGTATTTCGTTTTAAGCATAGACAATGTGTGGGTAATATATGTAAAAAAATAATAATTACTGTTGACGTAATCATCAAATAATAAAATCAAAGACCCCCCCCCACCCCAATATAGTGCTTACGTAATACTTGAACAGTCCCGACACGTGTAGGGCTTAGTATTACACTACAGTGCTATTAAATATAATTCTTTGATATTAGTTTGTAATATTGGATTATGCCTATGTAATTTCTGTATTTGCTCGATTAATTACAAGTACGTACACTATGGCCCTTTCTCCACTGCTTCGGTCCGGCAAACGTTAGTTACCGATCCGATTAGAAACTCACAAAAGTTCTTACGTACCACTACTCCGGCATCCGGTTTTTAACGATCCGATAACTTGCTTGATCGGAACGCAGTGTTTTATCGGTCCAAGTATATCGCAAGTATCAATATATTTATTTTTATTTAGATAAGAGTAATCGAGCAAATAAAATGGTTTAAATGACATTTTGTAATTACGTATTTGTATGAAGTATAGAATAATAAATAATCGAAAAATAAAATGTACCCTTGAATCGTTTATTATTTATTTTTTCCTGTTAACACATGTTAAAATGAGGACAATCAGATACTTATGAAAATATGTTGTAGAAAAGATTAGAGATAAGATTCTTGCAATTTCCTTTTGATCGAGAAGTCGGCAACATCGCAGCACTCAACTTGCGAGGGGGCTCTCAAGCGTTCGCGAATATAAGAAGTCAATACATTATTATGTAGGAATAAAGAAAATTATAATAGCAAATCATTAACACTGCAAGGCAGCAAATGATCTCTATGGAGTTGCTGAAAATGTCCAAGTAATTTTTTTCTATTGTAAACCCGACAATCTGTTAACAGGACTATTAATCGATGAGCAGAAATGTAAGATACATGACTATCTTAATATAATATATTAAATGGATATTTGTTTCTAGTAAACCGTGTACTGCAGTGGTTAGGGATTTTAGCAAGCAATTCCGTATGAAAACACCGGCACACTATTTTCGTTCTTAGTTATCTTGTAAAGATACATCCAACCCTATTTGAAACCCCAAAATAGGCCCTAAGAGACCAGGCATTTGTAAAGAAATAAATTGTTAGGTTATGTAATCAAGACCGTAGAAAAGTTTAGCTTGAATTAACTTTTTTTGCGAGTGAGGCGCAAACTAAATGCTGAGCCAGGGCCAATTACAACCACAGCACACACGCATTACACACTTGAAACGAACCGAAAGGGAAAATGTTTTTTTTTGATATCTCTCATATTTTTTTTCTTTGATTATTGTAGTACGGGAGGTAGCAACGTTTTCGAGAAAGAATTCCAGGTCAGCTGATTTTGTGATATGTCTTCCTTCTTGCACTTCCGGTTAGAGTCTGGGCAGTCTGGCTGGCGGTAGCGGTTGCGTTCATTAGTGCGCATCCTATCTGTCTAGGTAATAATCCTGGATTTTAAAAGCATTTTAAGAAGCGTAATTTTTGATTTATCCTTTTTAAATACGTCTACCTGATATACTTTTTTTATTGCCAGACATTTTTCACGTTGCTAACTATGTGCCAGACGCGATTTTAAGTTGTATTTTTATAAAAATTTCAAAGCATTTTAGAATGTCTGTAATTTTAATATTATGTTATTTAAATATAAGAAAAACTGAAAATGAATTTGCCAGACATTAATTCGATTGTTAAGTCTTGAATTAAAATGATAAAGTATTGCAGTATGATGAAGCATTGCATTTTAAGAAGCGTAATTTTTGATTTTTCCTTTTTAAATACGTCTACCTGACATACTTTTTTATTGCCAGACATTTTTCACGTTGCTAACTATGTGCCAGACGCGATTTTAAGTTGTATTTTTATAAAAATTTCAAAGCATTTTAGAATGTCTGTAATTTTAATATTATGTTATTTAAATATAAGAAAAACTGAAAATGAATTTGCCAGACATTAATTCGATTGTTAAGTCTTGAATTAAAATGATAAAGTATTGCAGTATGATGAAGCATTGCATTTTAAGAAGCGTAATTTTTGATTTTTCCTTTTTAAATACGTCTACCTGACATACTTTTTTTATTGCCAGACATTTTTCACGTTGCTAACTATGTGCCAGACGCGATTTTAAGTTGTATTTTTATAAAAATTTCAAAGCATTTTAGAATGTCTGTAATTTTAATATTATGTTATTTAAATATAAGAAAAACTGAAAATGAATTTGCCAGACATTAATTCGATTGTTAAGTCTTGAATTAAAATGATAAAGTATTGCAGTATGATGAAGCATTGCATTTTAAGAAGCGTAATTTTTGATTTATCCTTTTTAAATACGTCTACCTGACATACTTTTTTTATTGCCAGACATTTTTCACGTTGCTAACTATGTGCCAGACGCGATTTTAAGTTGTATTTTTATAAAAATTTCAAAGCATTTTAGAATGTCTGTAATTTTAATATTATGTTATTTAAATATAAGAAAAACTGAAAATGAATTTGCCAGACATTAATTCGATTGTTAAGTCTTGAATTAAAATGATAAAGTATTGCAGTATGATGAAGCATTGCATTTTAAGAAGCGTAATTTTTGATTTTTCCTTTTTAAATACGTCTACCTGACATACTTTTTTTATTGCCAGACATTTTTCACGTTGCTAACTATGTGCCAGACGCGATTTTAAGTTGTATTTTTATAAAAATTTCAAAGCATTTTAGAATGTCTGTAATTTTAATATTATGTTATTTAAATATAAGAAAAACTGAAAATGAATTTGCCAGACATTAATTCGATTGTTAAGTCTTGAATTAAAATGATAAAGTATTGCAGTATGATGAAGCATTGCATTTTAAGAAGCGTAATTTTTGATTTATCCTTTTTAAATACGTCTACCTGACATACTTTTTTTATAGCCAGACATTTTTCACGTTGCTAACTATGTGCCAGACGCGAATTTAAGTTTTATTTTTATAAAAATTTCAAAGCATTTTAGAATGTCTGTAATTTTAATATTATGTTATTTAAATATAAGAAAAACTGAAAATGAATTTGCCAGACATTAATTCGATTGTTAAGTCTTGAATTAAAATGATAAAGTATTGCAGTATGATGAAGCATTGCATTTTAAGAAGCGTAATTTTTGATTTATCCTTTTTAAATACGTCTACCTGACATACTTTTTTATAGCCAGACATTTTTCACGTTGCTAACTATGTGCCAGACGCGAATTTAAGTTTTATTTTTATAAAAATTTCAAAGCATTTTAGAATGTCTGTAATTTTAATATTATGTTATTTAAATATAAGAAAAACTGAAAATGAATTTGCCAGACATTAATTCGACTGTTAAGTCTTGAATTAAAACTATTGAAGAATCATTATCGTGTGAAGAACACGAAGAAGCTTATTCTAGGATAATTTTTCATATTTGCCAAATCGATTTTGACGCAGAAGTTGTTATACGCTG